ACACACACACACACACACGCACGCACACGCACACGCACACGCACACATTCTTTTTAAAAACACTTTAAACTCCATTGCTGTTTTTACCTTTTGTCAGACAATATCTGATATGATTGGCCTGACTTAGAAAGCACAAATTCACATGGCCTCACAGATATCGATTGTAATCAGTGACAGTCCTCATAAATATCGCTCTGAAATTCAGAATCTAGTCCCTGTCTGAACCAAATACAGAAGCAGGCAAATGGGGCATCTTTGGGCACACCTGCCATCCTTCCTCCAACTCCCTTCGTTAGCTTGCACAATTCATTGCAAATAAATTGAATTAAAACAATTAAATAATCATAGGAACATGAGGAGACCCTCAGGCCTGTTTAGCTGTTCAGTTAACTCGAGTGATTTATATCATTAATTCCATCTACTACTTTTGTTAAGTAGCTTTTGATACTGACAACTCCTCATTTACAAATACTTCCACCCTGTTTGCTATTCCCTCCTGGCCTTCAGCCCTCTCTTTACATTGATTATCTCCTCTGATACAACAAACCTCTGTGATGTTTTTCCTACCCTTGGTTGTTTGTGCATCCTGATTTTAAACACTCTACGTTGATGGCCATGCCTTCAAACCTGCCAGGCCCTAATCTCTGGAGTTCCCTCCTTAAATCTCTCTGCCATTCCAACTCTCTTTCTTCCCTTCTTCAAGAGACTCCATAAAACCTACGTCTTTGACTGAGTTTTTGTCCTAATGTATCTTTACATGAAGCAGTGTCCAATTTTGTTTGATTGCATTCCTCTGAAGCACTTGGACATTTCACTACTTTAAAGTCACCATGCAGATGAAAGTTGTTGCTGTTTCCGAACAAAACGTCTCCATGGACTCTCTCTGCATTCTCTTGCAGTAATAATGTTTGACCAGAAGCAATACAGTCATGAACATTGTTTCAGAGATAGTAGGAGCTGCAGATGCTGGAGAATCTGAGATAACAAGGTGTAGAGCTGGATGAACACAGCAGGCCAAGCAGCATCCGAGGAGCAGGAAGGCTGACGTTTCGGGCCTAGACACTTCTTCGGAAAAAGGGTCTGAAGAAGGTTCCTGAAGAATGATGGAAGCAAGCCACAGTGATCCTCCAAACAGCATCCCACCTAGACACACCCCCTGCCCTATCCCCGTATCGCCCATGGCTAATCCAACAAACCTGCACACTATGGGGCAATTTAGCATGGCCAATCCACCTAACCTGCACATCTTTGGAAACCAGAGCACCCAGAGGAAACCCACGCAGACACGGGGAGAATGTGCAAACTCCACGTAGACAGTCGCCCCAGGGCGGAATCAAACATTGATCCCTGGCACCGTGAGGCAGCAGTGCTAACCACTGAGCCACCATACCGGTAGAATAAAACTGTCGATGGACACGACTCAAGGATCAATTGATCGAGTGAAAAAGTGAGAGTTGCTACATACAGAGAACATGTTACAGAACTGTGGAACGGCATTTCGGGTCACATGTTTACAGGGAATGAAACATGCGCTTGTCGTTTGTGAAAGGGATCTTTGTTGTATTGACTATTTATGGTGAAACTTAGTTGAAGTATCATTTGCCTGTAAATTCATGTTTACTTTGTGTTGATACTGATTGTGATAAAGTACAAGTTACAAAGAGTGATATCTTGTTGGTAATTTCATCATTAGGGAGAAGGTCAGTCAAGTTTGATTTCTCGCCCCCCCTTACCAGCAGCAAATGGAGATCATAACAATACAAACAGGAGAAGAGACACTGGACAGACTTACCTACAGAAACACAACGGCGAGCTATTTCCCAGAGGATCAGGCCAAAGCTGTACATATCTGCCATGATGTATGATTGGAAATGGTTGCGATTGAGACTTTCGTCCAACACTTCTGGTGCCATGTAACGTTTTGTACCTACCCTGGTGTTGAGGGGTATATCCACTTCATTGGTGTCACTGTAGAGGTGGAAGGAAGAGAGTTACTTTCTTCGGCTCATCTCTTGTGACATTCCTTAGTGAAAACTTGTTTCTAAAAGTCCCTCTTTTGAGTCGATGTATTGGGAAGAACGCCTGAGCAATCCCAGTGCAGAGTAACGAGACAAGTGGAGATATGTGTGTTGTATCACCGGGACAACGACAAGTGGAGAGTGAACACAGACTGACCCTGGAGTCACACTGCAAGAACGTGGCTCGGGAAAGTTGTTTCACTCCCGTATCAGTTTGGTTAACAAGTCAGAGGCAATGGAAGTAAAGGACTGAACGGAATGGCCGTGCAAGGATAAATATTGTTTCACAGGCAGCAGTTAGGATCTGAAGTGCTCTGACTGGTGGGGTACAAGGAAAAGATCCAATTATAGACTTCGAGAGTGAATTGGGTAAATAACTGAATGTTGAGTTGTGTGGAAACAGCAGGAGACAGTGGGAACACAGGACTGCACTTTAAAAGGGTAAGCCCAGGCTCAATGGACTCAATATAGTCTTCTATGATTCTACACTGTTTTCAGACATACTTATAAAGTTGGAGGGTGTGGGGGAAAACAGTACAGCCCTGTTGGGCTGAATGGCCTGGTGTACCTTCCATACAATAGGGAGGGTCTGAAAGGAGACCAAGCCCAATAACAGACAGAGCAGGAGGGTGAGCAGGAGGGTGAGTGAGAGAGAGAGAGAGAAAGATACAAAGGGACAAGCTGAGGGAGAGTGACAGAAAGAGAAAGGCAGACAAACTTAGATAGAGAGACACAGACAGAAAGGGGGAAAATACAAAGAGAATCATCATCATAGAATCCCTACAGTGTGGGAACAGGCCATTCAGCCCAAGAAGTCCTCTCCGACTCTCCAAAGAGCATCCCACCCAGACTCACCCTCCTACCCAATGCCTGCATTTCCCACGGCCAATCCACCCAACCTACACTACGGGCAATTCTGTACGGCCAATCCACCTAACCTGCACATTTTTGGACAGTGGGAGGAAACCCACGCAGACAAGGGGAGAACGTGCAAACTCTACACAGACAGTCGCCTGAGGCAGGAGTTAAACCCAGGTCCCTGGAGCTGTGAGGCAGCAGTGCTAACCACTGAGCCACTGTGCTGCCCTGAAAGAGCGAGAGAGACAAAAAGATAGAGAAATACAAAGAGCGAGAGTGAGAGAGACACACACACACACACACACACCCCACGTCCCCCTTCCCCAATACAAGGTGAGACGAAGAGAGAGATCAACAGAAAGAAAGGCGGTCCTCTCTTCTGATGTCACTGTGCCCTGTTCTTGGTCCCTGGTGCAGGGGCTTTAGGTTAAGTCTGTCTTCTGTGTCCTCTGATTTGAGTGTCCCACCTGATTTACATTCCCAGAAGGAATTTCTGAGACTGGAACATAAAGCACGCATTGTCTGTGTGGCCCTGCTACTCACTGGGGCAGGCTATCAACTCTTGTTTCCCTAGAATATGTCCGCAACAGAACCGGTTGCCAAAAGGAAATAGTCATAGCCCCATCAATTAAAATCATCCAGGAGTTTCAGATAGCTTATTTCTAAGTTTCTTGTTATGATGACCACCATTTCTGTGGATCACAGGTTTAACAAGTGTTACTCTTATAACTACTGGTGGAATACAGAAAGTAATCTGATGTCAAGACAATTAAAGCAGGAGCAGAAGAGGAGCCTCATGTGTCTTGAGTATAGCCCCAAGAGAAAAGATTAATGGAAATACTGGTTTCATTTGGCTGTTGGTACAAGTATTAGTGTCGCAAATTTTAAATTTGAAAAAAATACTCCTTCCCTTCCCACATTCGATTTCCTCGCACTGAGCTCTCGCCAAGAAGGAAACCCCATGCTGTCCTCTGAAATTCCTGGAAGGTACATCAGACCATTCAGCCTAACAGGCCCATACTGGATTCCTCCCTCCCCACACCCTCTAACTCTATCAGTGTGTCAGAAAGCCAGGAGACTAAATTCAGTCCATTGAGTCTAGGCTTGCTCTTTTAAAGAACAGTCCAATGTTCCCACTAACTCTTGTTTTTTCCTTTTCCTGGTTTTTAGGTTGTAGATATCAGGTTCAATCATTTTGCCCCTCACGGTCGAATTGTCCACTGAATGCTAGTCACCTGTGACAAAGGAGGCACCTGGCATCCAAGGGACAGTCCACTGGCTTGGAGGTTCCGATTGTTAGGAAAAGTGGGGGAATGGGGTGTTGGAAAATCAGCACCTGACAGAAATCAGCGAAGAGTTGGCAGCTTTGAAAGGTGAATAGCTCACCTGATAAACTTAACAGCCAGGCCCAGATCGGCGATACAGCACATCCCATTCTTCTTCACCAAGATGTTTTTGCTTTTCAGGTCGCGGTGGGCGATCGCTGGCTTTCCCTGCGTTCCAAAGATCTCCGTGTGCAAGTGACAGAGCCCACTGACAGTTGAGTATGCCAGCTTCAGCATGGCTTTCGTGTCGAGGGTTGTGGACTTTAAGTAATCGTAAAGAGATCCATTCTCATGGTAGTCTGTGATCAGATACAGCTGGGTCCATGACCCTGTCCCTTTGATATCAGCAGCAATGAAGCCTAAACAAAGACAACAACACAACCAATCTGTAATGGCAATCAATGTCGCTATTTGAGCATTGAGCAAATTATCCTGTCAACATTTCAGAGAGGACACCATGAAGGAATGCTGAGGTATGAGGGGTGAAGGTTTTGGCTTCGTGGCATTATCACTGGACTGTTAATCCAGAGACCCAGCTAATGTTCTGGGGACCCAGGTTCAAATCCTCCCATGACAGATGGTGGAATCGGAATTCAGATTTTTAAAAAAAATCTGGAATAGAGAGTCTAATGACGACCGTGAATTCATTGTCAATTGTTGGGAAAAAACCCATCTGGTTCACTAATGTTCTTTAGGGAAGGAAACTGCCATCCTTACCTGGTCTGGCCTACATGTGACTCCCAGACTCACAGCAACGTGGTTGACCCTTAACAATTAAGGCCTAGCCAGTGATGCCCTCATCCCATGAATGAATAAAAAAAAGACGTGTCACTGCATAGAACATAGAACAGTACAGCACAGTACAGGCCCTTCAGCCCACGATGTTGTGCCGACCTATTATCCTACTAAGATCAAACTACCCTGCATACCCTACATTTTACTATCCTCCATGTGCCTATCCAAGAGTCACTTAAAAGTCTCCAAAGTATGAGACTGCAAGTTTTCCATCTTGCACTAAAGGTCAAAGACAAGAATGCCAAATTTCAAATGACCGACACAGCTTATATTACGGGAGAAAAAGGTGCTGATTGGTTGTCATGTCAACTCAGATTGGCTAAGGCATTTCCGCAGAGAAAGCAACAGGGAATTCCTTGAGGCTCGTCAGTTATATATAAAAAAGGAGCAAAGTTGATATTGTTTTTGTTGTTTGCAGAGAACAGGTCCCTATGTATATGTATTAGTACCTTGTGGCAGGAGGAAGTCAGCCATGTTACAAGCTTTTTTTCCTGAAATTAGTGTAACTATTAGCACAATCAGGATTGTTCAGCAAGTGACATAGAATCAAGGAATTTTTCATACTTGTATTTGTCCTGATGAGGGCAAGAGAAATAAATTCAGCAACATTTTGAACAGGATAGAAGTTTGGACTGCATCTATATGGGAAATGACAGTAGTTGGTATGGTTCTTCTAAGTGCACAAAAAAGTGCAGGGAGATGTAAGAGAGGCTTCCCATATTGTGAAATTGGTGCTAGGGAGTTCAAAACTAATGGTAGTAAGTGTCAAATTCCATTTAATAAATCCAACAGGGAATTTAGGAGAAAAATCTCCAGTCAAACTATGGTAAGCATGTGGAATGTGCTACTGTGGAGTGTTCTTAAGGTAAATAGCAAAGATGTATTTAAGAGTAGGTTAGATATACATTTGAGTGAGTAAGCAATAGAGGGATTTTCTGACAGGGTGACAGGAAGTTTCTGACAGAATGGGAGGAAGCTTGTTCTGAACTGGAGCCACATTCTCACCAGCCTGGACGTAAAGAATCCCTCTCTAATGAATTTATTAACTCAGGGCTTCCCAAAGTGGGGTCCACACCCCAAGCGGGTCAATGAGCTGGTTCAGAGATATGTTAGAGTGCAGGAGGCTTCATCTACACTAGCTTGCTGAGACTTTTACTATAAGGCCATTTTCCTGCCTTTTCACCATATCTCTCCATATTATTTAAAATGAAACAATCTCCCATTGAACCTGCCTCCAGCACATTTCCAGGCACTACATTCCACACCCTCACTACATGCTGTGTGAAAAAGATTTTTCTCAGCCTCTGAATTGTTTCTTTTGCAAAGCAGCTTACAACCGTGCCCTCTGGTTCTCCATCCATTTACAAGCAAGAACAGTTTTCCTGTTTCCACTGGGTCCAGACCCCTCATGGTTTTGAAAACTTCTATCAATCTCCCCTCAGCCTTCTCCTCTTCAAGGAGAACAGTCCCAGCTTCTCCAACCTTTCCTCATAACTGAATGTCTCATCCCTGGAACCATTCACACCAACCTCTTCTGCACTATCTCCACTACATTCATATCCTACCTGTCTCAGAATCATACATAATACTCTATCTGAACTCTAGCCAGTGTCCTTTAAAGATTCATCAACATCTCCCTGCTCATGTACTCTATATCCCTATTAATGAAGCTTAGAACACTGTATACTTTATTTACATCTCACTCTATCTGTACTGCCATTTTTCATGACTTAATGTTGAACTTTTAACTTATTTCTTTATTTTTCAAATTTGTACCTAAGAATTTGTTCCTAGGTACCTTTGTATCTAGGATGGTGCTGTGGATGGCGACATTGTACACTTTTCACTGAACCCCTGTACTTGAGTACACATGACAATAAAACCTAATTCTAATTCTAATCGTGTGCACGTACACCCATGTCTCTCTGCTCCCGAATGCCTTTTAAAATTGTCCCCTTTATTGTACACTGTCTCTTTATGTTCTTTGTACCAAAGAGTATCACTTCACATTTCTCTGCATCGAACATGATCTCCCACCTATCTGTCCACTTCAACAACTTGTCAATGTCCTCTGAAGTTCTGTTCTCCTCACTGTTTATAGTTCTTCCAAGTTTTGTGTCATAATAAAGTAGGGGGTCACGAGCTCTGAGGCCGTAAGTGCTGCCATAGAAACCTGACCAAGTTATATTAGCTGTGCTCTAACCAGTCCCTGTGCTTTCCCACTGACACCCCAACTGTTTTCATCCATTTCTCCTCCTCCACCACTGTGCCCCCCTCAGTATCCTCCTCTCTCACAGTCCTTCCCCCATGCCCCCCCAACACCATGCTCTCACTGAGGGACGGAGGGAGTGCCCGGCAGCTTTTGTGCCTCAAAATGGGGTCACAGTGGACAAACATTAGTGAGGCACGGTGTTATCTTACATTTATAACACCTCGCTTTGGTCTTCCCCTCAAGTGGAAACATCTCCACTGCATCAACACCATCAAACTTCTTCATAATTTTAAGATTTAAGTTTTTTTAAGTTTTAAGAACCTCCCGTTTCAAATCGATGCTATCAGTAGCTCTCTGAGTAACTCTGTCACTTGTAACACATTGCACTAAACTTCTATACACTGTTTCTTTACCACACGACAGCATTCCAGTGTGCCTTTATGTTGTGGAGTAATGAGGAAAGTGAAATATGAAATGGGTGGGGGGAGGTTAGTGTTTGCTTCTTGGTTCATGTCACAATTACAGCATGTAACATGATGGGAGACACAGACAACTCAGCTTGTGACAGTCAGACTATTTCCTCACTTGTTAAGGTTTAGCTGAAGATCAAGTGAGGTCCCACTGGGTTTGAACTCAGCGATCAGAGCTGCAAGGTCACATGAATGACAGGCACCTAAAACAAAGCCAATATACTCCAGGGGTATTGTGGAAAATCAACAACGCAGATTAGATTTCATACGTTCTGAAAGTCAACTTGAAGCGCGGGAGCAATCTGTGTGACTTTGATAGACTGATTCACTGAGCCCAGACTTTGTCCAACACATTTAAACTTCTCTACCTACTTGAAACTGATAAAGATAGCAGGAAGAGACAAAGGAGAAGACATGGGAAGACATGGCATCTTGGGTAATTATACCATATTTATGCGTTCTTCAAAATCTTTCATGGGTCTGTGGCAAGGCCTGCATAAGTTACTCATCCCTAATAGCTTCTGCATTCAGTAACTCATTATGATTATATTAGAAAGGCTCAATCTCATCGCTGTGCATCTAGAGTCACATGCAGGCCAGACTGGATAAGAATGGCAGATTTCATTCCCTAAAGGCAATTAGAGCACCAACTGGGTTTTACAACAATTGATCATCGTTGCCAATGGTTACCATCTCAGAGATAAAATTTACATTTTAACATAATTTATTCATTCAATATAATTCCACAAATTGCCATGGTGGGATTTGAACCTATACCTCAGACTAACCTTTGAAGTACTAGACTTAGTGATGTTATCAACATGCCACCACCTTCCTGTAATAGCATGCTGCTTTGGAAGTATATGATGGTAAAATCGCAACATATTCACCCAAATAGAGGATATCTGCACTATCACCTTATTTAACCCAGCACTTTATTAGCAATTTATCAATTATTGACAATTAATTTACTGAAGATCCTTCAGTCTCACTAGGTCACAGTCCTGGAACTCCCTCCCTCAAGGCGTTGTGTTCTACCTACAGCATGTGAACTGCAGCGGTTCAAGAAGGTGGACATGCTAAAATTGCCCCGTGATGTCTAGGGATGTGCAGGTTGGTTGGGTTAGCCATGGTAAAAAACCCATTACAGAGATGGGATTGGGGTGTTAGGTCAGCTTGAGATGCCCTTCGGAGGGTCAGTACAGACTTGATGGGCCAAATGGCCTCTTTCTGCACTGTGAGGATTCTATGAAGGCAGCTCACTAGTACCTCCTCAAGGGGAACTAAGAAGTGAATGCTGGCCAGAGACGCCCACTCCCCATGAATGAATTTTAAAAAAAGCTGACAAATATTCAGAGTTAAAATGTAACAGGGTTGTATGCTAACTCTAAAGGATACATCTGATGATCATAATGCTAACAGAGGTTCGGGTTTCCAATCCACACCAAAGTAAATATTTCAGAACAATGCCTCTTACTGCAAATACGAACAAAGAAAGCAAGACATTTCTGAGAAGGTTGTCAGACTGCCCTCAGATTGGAATGTAGTCTAGAGGAGTGGTCTACGGCTGAGTTTAAGTTAACACAGGATTGTTAAATTCTCCAGGATCATCCAGGGATCAAAGATTAATATCCTGGACACATACTGTGAGCAAAACCAGAGGAAAAGTCTTAGGGATATTTTAACAATAATAATAATTGAACGCTTAGGTTCTATAGTTCTTGAAATATTGGAGCTGGGTGAAATGAAGTTTGGCAGGGAAGGGTCAAAAACAAAGGGTGGAATGGGCATATTTTTCTAGGCAATCAGAGACATCAGAAATCATCAGTTAAACTGTATTGATAAAGGGACCAAATCAGTCAAACGGAAGATCTAGGGGGGAAAGAAAATCAGGGAAAAAGCAGGAAATGGGATTTGTTTGGAGTTGTTCCATCAGAGACAGCACATGGATAACTGGATGAAAGGATTTCTTCTGCACTGTAAATTTTGCCGATGCCTTCTGTTAGCATGGCACATTACAGTAAAATTATAGCCCTGAAGGAAACCACCGTAGCTCTTTGAAAGAACAACAAGTTAGTCACATTGCCTATTGTCCTGCATGTATTTTCCTTCAAATTCTCCTTTGTTTATTATTATTCAATGCATTTTCAAGCCTTATATGCAGTGTATGCCAGATCACAGAAACTAGCCACTTCAAGAGAATTCTCACCTTTTGCCTTTTGATTCTTTTGGCAATTTTCTTAAATCTGTGTCCACTGGTTTCTGACCTTCCTGCCAGTTTCTACCCATGATAAAGATGGACCTGGTACTGGACTAACAGCCCAGGGGTCACAGCTAATGGTCTAGAGATTTTTTTTGGCTTAGATCCTGTCATGGGGAATTTAAATTCAACAGACTAAATAAATTCAGAATAAAGAGTCAGCAAGACAACTAACACTCATTTGTCATAAAGAAACGTCTGGTTCATTCATGTTCTCTAGGGAGGGAAATCTGCCATCCTTACTTGGTCTGGCCTACACACAACTCTAGACCCACAGCAATGTGGTTGGCTCCTAACAGCACTCTGAAGTGGTCAAGCAAGCCAGTCCGTTGTATTTAAGATGACAGCGATGGTTTAAGATAAGTTCTACTCTGCCACCACCAAAACCTTCCTGTAGAGTGTTTGGACCTTTTGTGAGGCCTCAGTGTCATCACATCTCAATCAAGGTTCATGGGAACAGATGTCCAACATCCTATATTGTCCCATCAGAAAGTAGCCAACTACAAAATCCAATGGGTAGAGGAAGTCTTGACAGAATTGAGTCTGCTCTATGTGCACAATCCTACCCTACCACAACCCTCCACTCTACCCTCTTGCCAATAGCCCCACTGAGGATTGCTCTCCCACACCCCCACCTTAGCGTCCAGTTGATGATTTTAGTTGATTGGCGCCAAAGACCAGCTTTTCTAGACACCTCTGACCATCCCTATGATCTCTTCCAGCTACACAATGCTCTGAGATTCCTGTATGGCTCCCATTTCGACTTCCGGAGCATCCCCAATTTTAATTGCTGCTCCACTAGCACTGTGTCTTCAGCAGCCAAGGCCCTAAATCCTGAATCCCTTCCCGGAACCTCTTGTCTCCCTTTAAGATCTTTACTCCTAAAAACATCTTAGGCCAAATGTTAAATAAAAACTGAAAGAACTGTGGATGCTGTAAATCAGGGATAAGAACAGAAGCTGCTGGAAAAGCTCGGCAGGTCTGGCAGCATCTGTGCAGAAAAAATCAGAGTTAATGGTTCGGGTACTGCGGTTCTGAGGAAGGGTCACCGGACCTGAAACATTAACTCTGATTTTTTTTTTCCACAGATGCTGCCAGACCTCCTGAACTGTCCCAGCAACTTCTGTGTTTGGCCAAATGTTATCTCCTTAAGTGACTTAATTGAATTGATTTGAATTGAAATCAATTGCACTCAACTCAGTCCAGAGAACATTCACTCAATTGCCTCCTGGCAAGGTAGAACAGATTAGGCAGACTCCCATTGTAGTTTAGAAGAACGAGAGTCGATTTGATTCTGAGGGGACTTAGCAGGGCAGCTGCTGCCCTGGGGTGAAATCCAGAAGGTGAGGGCACTGTTTCAGAATAAATGGTGAACATATTCCCTCAGAGAGTCAAGAGTCAGAGAGTGGAATTCTTGATGACAGCCTGTGGTGGAGGGCTGAAACATTGAATATATTCACGGCTGAGTTAGACGGAATCTTGAACTGGCGGCACATTATATGGCATGGGCCATGGCATGAGGCCAGGATTTGTTCAACTATGATTGTATTGAATAGTGAAGCTGGCTCGAGGGCGCTGAATCCTGCTCCTATTTCTTACATTCTTTTCGTCTGAAGTTTCATGCATTGTTTGAGAACGTTTTTGTGAAGTTCATCAGGAAATTTTACCACATCAGAGGTGCTATATAAATGCAGACTGCTGTTACCACTGGTGACAACTTAGCCTCTGGCCAATTACCCAGCATGCGGTGCACAGAGCCTGTGTGCAGGAGGGACGTTCATGAGTTGCTGATAGCCTTTGCTGAACGTCACGTTGCGTTGACTCACCAAGGATGTTCTCGTGTCTCATTAGCACAGTCTGATAGATTTCTGTCTCCCTGAACCAGCTGGCCTCCTCCATGGTGAAGAAGACTTTCACCGCAACCTTCTCACCGCGCCATCTTCCCATCCAGACTTCACCGTAACGCCCCTTCCCAATCTGCTTCACCATCTGAATCTGCTTAGCTATCGTCCTCTGCACCTGAAAGCACAAACATCAGGCACACCTCAAACCCAAGTCAAAAATACTTATCGAGCCATATCCCTATACACAATGCACTGGTGAGAGCATATCTACAATACTGTGAACTCTCCTTATTCGTAGCCTGGTGTTAATGCGCATTAACAGCAGCTCAGAGAAGGTTTACCAGCCTAATAGCTGGTAAAGGTGGCTTGCCTTATGAGGAGAGTTTGGGCAGGTTAGGCCTGTATCAATTGGAGTTTAGATGCTACTTATATAAGTTTCTGAGGGATTTTGACAGGCTGGAAGTGGACAGGATATTTCCTCTTATGGGTATCAGAGGTCATTGTTCAAAAACGAAGAGGTATCCATTGAAGAATCATAGAATCCCTACAGTGTGGAAAGAGGTCACTGAAGGGCATCTCACCCAGACCATCCCCATAACCCTACTTTTAACATGATCAGTCCACCATAACCTGCACATCCGTGGACTGTGGGAGGAAACCCACGCAGACATGGGGAGAATATGCAAACTCCACACAGACAGTTGCCGAGGGTGGAACCGAACCCAGGTCCCTGGCGCTGTGAGGCCACTGAGCCACCGTGCTGCCCTGGTGTGAAGATGTGAAGGCTGAGATGAAGAGAAATGCAGAAGCCAAGTTGCGCACAGCAAGCTCCAACAAACAGCCAATGTGATCATGAACAGATTGTTTCTGTTTACAATTTGAAAGGGATGAGGGCTGAGCTGTTGCGGGGTTGGTGAGGGGGTAGGGGAGAACTCAGGGAGAACGCCCCTGCTTTTCTTCAAAACAGGGATCCTCTTACATCCAGGAAAAGGGGCATCAGTTTAATGTCTCCTCCACAAGGTGACCTCTGACAGCACAACCCTCCTTCAGGACCTGGGCTGTTACTGTGCTCAATTATCAAAGCCGACAGTGGTCACTTTATGAATTGCAGAGGATTTATCAGAGGAAGGAAATACACTGGCGCCTAAAAGGAGTCCAGAGGCACTTCCATGACTTTGCACGGATGTGGAGGGCTGCGAGCCCTGAAGTGCAAGCTGCTCACCAGGAGAGGGAGACCTGAGCCACTGCCTGAGCTCTGTGACTGTTCAATAAGGTCCTTGAGGGATTCTCCAGGTGGGATGAAGGTTTCGTCTTGCTCAATGCCCATGTTGTACCGCGGTCTCTCCTCTTGTCTTTTGTACCTTAAAAAAAAGGGAGCAAAGCAACATTAAAATGTCTGCGATAGCATGCAGCCGCTAAAGAAACACTGATTAGTTACTGTCCTCTGGACCTACATTATTTTGTTTTATCAAAGCTCTTGCCTTCATTACGTTTTGAGAACACATTGACCCCATTATAGTGAAAGACACCACTTTGCCTTTGATGATTAACTTCAAACCAGTTGATTAATCTTCCCAGGGGTGAATATTTCTCGCAGATTAATGTCTGACATTTTTCAGATGTGAAGACAGAAAGGCCAATGATAAACAGCCATGGTTTCTGGTTAACTCCTTCCTGAGGTTTCATGGTTACTCAGTGCCCTTTGAACACCTTCTTTAACGAGAGGTTCCCAGGGTGGGGGTGGGTCAGATTGAGCGTAAATGACCTCCTTAGGAGAACAATTAGAATCACAGTAATTTCAAGGAATATTGCATTTGCTCGGACAAAGTTACTATAGTCCCACTCAAGACAGATGACCAGTGATTGTTTAACTCAAGGGTCACCACACCTCGGGTTGGGGAAGAGGTTGAGAAGGAGGGTGCCTCGGCTGGGATAGGAATTGAACCCACACTGTTGGTATCACTCTGCTTCACAAACCAGCTGTCCAACCAAGTGAGCTAACCAGCGCCCAGTAGGCAATGTTACAAGAGGAAACAAATGAACAAACAAGTGAATGGGGGTGGCGGTGATGGGGCGGAGGTGGGGGAATAGGGTGGAGTGTGTCTCTCCAGCGGGGGACCGACTGAATATCAAGTGACCACCTGCTGAGGTGAGATTGTCGGGATGGGAGGGGAGGTGCGTTGGGAATGTTGGCAAAGTGTTGGGAATGTGTGCGGAGTCGGGATAGTGAGGGTGGGGAGGAGATGGAGCAGGGGAGGAGGGTGAAGAGGCAGAGTGACCGAGTGTGGCGGGGCGGGTGGGGTATGGGGGGATGGTGCTGCAGAGTGGTTACTGTTCCCTCAATCTCGTGACTGGGGAGCAGCGCGGTGAGCAGGCAGAGAGAGAGTGAGGGGTCAGGCCATGGTACTGTTCGAATAGGGATGAATAGGACTTGGAATGAGTTGGGAGTGAGACAGTGCGGCAGGAAGCGGAGTGACAGAACAATTCTGAGAAAAGACAGAGACAGAATACATTTTCTGAATTAAATTTTTATAATCAAATGCCGATATGAACACGGGACTGACCTGAAATAGCAGAAAATGATGAGTAAAGCCAGGATGATGCTACAAACAGTAACAGAGATCAGGAGGGTTATGTGATAAGTGCTTCCATCCACAAAATCTGTGTGAAAACACAAAAAGAGTGAATCAATATAAAACCACCTTTGTGTTATGAAGAGAGACAGAGACGTGCTGTCGAAACTTCCCATCTTGCACTGATCAGGACAAAATTACAAGAATATCAAATCTTAAAGGGAACAACATGAGAAGAGAGTGCTGATGGGTTGATAATTGGGCCCTGACTCTCAGAAATGTTGAAATAGATGTCAGTTCCCTGCCTAGTTTTTGTTTCAATTCAATTTGAATTCAAACTATTTTATGGCACTCCAACAGAGCAATATAGGAACAGGAGTAGGTCAATCAATGCATTGAGCCAGATCATGGTGTGACATTCATCAATGCATCTTTCCTGGACTATGTCCACCTTCCTTCATATCTCCAGAAATCTATTCATCCTTGTCTTGATCATGCTCAAATGACTCAGCTTGCACAGGCCTGCAGGGTAGAGAATTCCACACAGTTTCACCACCCTGAGTGAAGACATTCTTCATCACCAGTCTTCAATTGTCTACTCTTCATCCTGAGATTACGTCCCCTGGTTTTCAAATCACCAGTCAGGGAAGACACTGACATGGACCATGTTTTGCCCTGTAAGAATTTTGTAATCTTCAACGCGTTCAGCCCTCTTTCCTTGATACACGAGAGAGCGCAGCCTCAGAGTGAAGGGACAATCTTTTAGAACTGAGATGAGGAGGAATTTCTTTGGCCAGAGAGTGGTTAATCTATGGAACTCATTGCCTGTGGAAGTCAAGTTACTGATTACCTTGAAGACAGGAATAGATAGGTGCTTGATTGGAAAGGGGATCAAAGGTTATGAAGAGAAGGCAGAAGAATGGAGTTGAGAAACATATCAGCCATGATCAAATGGTGGAGCAGACCCGATGGGCCGAATGGCCTAATTCTGCTCTTATATCTTATAGCCTTAGAATACAGGCCTGTTTTCCTCCATTTCTCTTTACAAAACAATCCTGTCATCTCAAGGATTAATCTGGTGAACATCCATTGCATTCCCTTCATGGCAAGCGTATCCTTCCTTAGATAAGGAGTCCAAAACTACACACAGTACTCCAGATGTGTTCTCACCAAGTCTTTGCACAACTGCAGCATGATGGCTTTATTTATGTATCCAAATCCCCTTGCAGTCAAGACCAATTTATCATTTTTCTTACTTATTACCTGCTGCACCTGCATGTCAACTTTTAGTGATTCATAAACAAGGACATGCAAATCCCTTTGGACATCCGTACCTCCAAATCTCTCACCACTTCAGAAATATTCTGCCTTTCAGTTTTCTTTCTACCAAAGTGAAAACCCCACACTTATTCATATCTGAAACAAACCTGAATTTAATCAGGCTTAATCCTTTCATTTAGCAAGTCTGAAAGACTTTGTTCCTTTGAGGTCTTGGTAAAAGAAGCACAGTAAAATAATTTTGAAAAATAACTTTGGATTTGTCAGGTATTTTAAAGCTGTAAAAGCCTCTTAATGGCATTACACAGGGATTTATCAGACAGAACAAGACACTAAGACTCAGAGGAGAAATGACAGCAGGTGACCAGAGAGATACGTTTTCAGGAACATCTTGCAGGAGAAGAGAAAAGTAGAGAGTGGAGTAGTTTATGTAATTCGAGAGCTCACAGCCACCAAACAGAAGGAAATCAGAGATGCATGAGGGGTTAAAATTAGGGGAGCGCAGAGAACTTTCACCCAGCAAAGGTCAGCTGACAAAGAATTTCCTTTTAAGCAAAGTATTTATTATTGTTCATGCTTAATCTACATATTTAGAAATTCATTTTCACAGATGCTTTCACCAAATGGTCATGACCGCCAAAATATTTATCCTGTATTGTGTACTGATGTAGTCCAGTTGTTTATCTTTAGTCTGTTATTGTACATGAAAGATAAGGGAAATGCATCCAATCAACCTGCACAAAGTATTGCCTTTGTAAGGAATACAGAGGAGCTGAAGTTAAAATTACATTCCAAATTGAGTCCAGTAAAAAATTCATTAAAAAAGAAAACAATTAAACATTAAGAATTTTTGAAGTCAGGTCCATATTCACCCTTTGACCAATGGAGAAACTGGCTATTGACAATGTTTGTTACTGTACGATCAAAGATACTTCACAGTTCCGTGAATGGTCCCCCCTCCCCACTGCTGCCTCACAGCCCTACTCCATCCCAGGCCTTACCTGCCCAGCTGTGGCGACAGCTGTACTCCCAGCAGTGACCAGCAGACCCAGTGGCACTGTTGACATGCCAACACTCAGATTGGCTGGCAGTTATTATACGTGGGTTTTTAAAAATTTATTCATGGGACATGGCATGACTGGCTGGGTCAGCATTTATGCCCATCCCCAGTTGCCCTTGAGAAGCTGCCTTCATGAACCACTGGAGTCCGTATGCTATGGGAGACCCACAATGCTGCTAGGAAGCAACTTACAGGATTTTGACCCAGCAACAGAAAAGGAACGATAATATATTTCCAAGTCAGGATGGTGAGTGCCTTGGAGGGGAAATTGTAGGTGGTGGTGTTCCATGTATTTACTTCCTTTGAGATGGAAGTGATTGTGGATCCTGCAATCCTTGAACTCGAAACGTTATCTCTGTTTCTCTTTTCACAGATGCTGCCAGATCTGCTGAGTTTCTCCAGCAATTTTGGCTTTTGTTTGTTTCAGATTTCAAGCATCTGCAGCTCTTTGCTTTTTATCTTTAACAATATAAGTGAATACAGCATTGTTGGAGCTGCATTCATCTAGGAAAGTGAGGAGTATACTATCACAGAGATAGTCGGAACTGCAGATGCTGGAGAATCTGAGA